TATATGTTCATTGCGTCTGACAGTAATCTTGACAAACTGCGGGACATACCATATTTAGTTTTGGGTGGAAAACCCATAAGAAGAGTTAAAGTATCAAAATCACTAGGGATATTTATTGACGAAAGATTGTCATGGAGAGATCATATTGATAAAATCTCTAAGACCATATGCTCCGGAATTTCCGGTCTTCGGCAAGTGAGAGAGTTTGTTACCCTTTCAACATTACTTACAATATATAATTCACTAATTCAACCAATATTTGACTATTGTGATGTTGTTTTGGGTAACATGTCAATCACACTTGCTCAACGACTCCAAAAACTGCAAAATCGTGCAGCAAGAGTTATCACTCGTCAGGGTTATGAAGTAAGATCTAATGATATTAGAAGTCAATTGAAATGGAAAACACTTTCCGAAATAAGGAATAGTCATAAACTCATAATGATGTATAAAATATTAAATAATATGGCTCCTGTTTACTTACGTGACCATTTTAAAATGTCTTTCACGGACCAAGCTTATTCTCTTAGAAATAGAAAACTATGTCTAATTTTGCCAAGAGCACAAACAGAATTCCTAACGAAAAGTTTTGCCTTTTCTGGAGCAAAAGTTTGGAACGAACTACCAGAAGAAGTAAAATGTAGCAATAGTTTACAAATCTTCAAAAAATGTATCTCATCTCATGCCTAAAATTGTACATAGCTATTTTTAATATAATGTCGGCCCTCTTGTAAAGCAGTGGTATCACTGAAGAGTTCACCGAATTTAAATAAAAATCTCTGTCTGTCTGTCTGTCTGTCTGTCTGTCTGTCTGTCTGTCTGTCTGTCTGTCTGTCTGTCTGTCTGTCTGTCTGTCTGTCTGTCTGTCTGTCTGTCTGTCTGTTTTTCCGTTTTAATTTGCTTAAATTTTGCTTGGTTTGTTTTATGTTTGTTTGGTTTGTTTGTATGTTTGCTTTCATTTGTTGATCATGGGTTTATTTATTTGCTTATTTGTTAATTTCCGATCCCAAAAGCACTTCTTTCACTAGAAATAAAGCTACTTTACTCATTTTTGTTTCGGCTCAGGAAAGCGGAATTTGAAAGAAATTTTCCTTTTCTATCCCACTTTCCATACGTCATTTTATTAATGCATTTTATAGAACGGGAATTTTGGTAAGCAATGGTCAATGGAATCATGTCTGCATCACATGGAAGAGTAGTGATGCTGCTGTGCAAGTTTACAAAAACGGCGTACTATTAGAGAGCAAGACTGCGTCTATCCAAGGAAGGCCCATTTTGCCATTTGGTATATGGATTATTGGGCAGGACCAAGACAGCTTTGGTGGAGGGTTTCAATCAACAAACGCATTTCATGGTTCCCTTACTGACGTCAATGTGTGGGACAGAGACCTGGATGCGAGCGAGATTTCATCCCTTGCAAACAATGACTGTGGATCGGGCACGAAGGGAAATTACAGAGCGTACGATGATTTCGTTCCCTACGGAGGTGTTCGAAAGTACAAATCGCAATGTTGTAAGCATTAGCTTTTTATTTTTGCTTTGGCTGTTTATAACAAGACTGAATCTTGTGAACATACGTGATAATTTCTGGCCTCTTTCATGCATGAAAGAGGCCAAAAATATCAATTTAGTCCCTGATTGTGTTGTTTCTCCTTTGCATGGCTAAGTTATCTCGCACATTTTTAGTAATTGCTGTGCGGAATTTTCAAGGAAATTCTTGTCTCGTTCCTAAGGACTATCTTGAACCTTTTTCAAACGGCGGACTCAAATCATTACACAGGCTTCCTGAACAATGCTGTTATTGGCAATCTATCTGACCGTATTTTAATAGCTTCAAATATTCCGAACGTACTTTGTTCTTTTAGTCACATGTAGTAAAAGTATTATTACAAATCTATTATCTGGAGAATTGTATATTTAATATATTGCTATTAGCCTATTACAGTATAATGCTCCGTATTATTGTTATATACATTTCCTCGTTGTAGATACGCCCTGCGTCAATTTGACTGTTGACAGTTTATTTTATCGCAGTCGACGCTGATTGGTTCGCGTTTAGCAAATGCGAAAAGGGGATGATTGAATAGAACGCATCGTTTCGTGCAGGCTCACCTTTCCCTCAGTGAGCTTGTTCGCAGGCTAGTTTTTGCCTTTTTATGCCCTTTGCCAACACACTTTTTTCTATGTATTTTACTTCATAAGAAACGAGCAAAATAGTTGTGCTCTGCTTCGAAAATCCAGCGGCAAAATATTAACTTTTAATCATTCATAGTTTAATTTAATTATTTACAAAACCTAACAGTTGAAAGGACATGCCTAGCAAGAGGTGATCCACACTACTCGACATTTGATGGAACACGTTATGACTTTATGGGTACATGTGAATACGTTCTGGCTAAAGACAGTTTAAATAACGCATTTGAAGTAAGACAAGTGAATGAACCATGTGGAAATGGAGAACCTTCCTGCACAAAATCTCTAACAGTGATTTTCCCAAATGTAACTATCCAACTACTGCGGGGAAGTGTAATGGTAAATGACACAGAAATTGTTTTGCCTGCAACGTATGGAGGTAAGTTCTTTCAAACTTCATACTATAGATAGCAGTATATGCTTCAGGATTTGACGGTCAAGTTAGAATTTCTAACTAAATGCATGCATAGTACAAATTTAGTGGAATATCGTTCTATTTCTTAAAACATTTATTTTAGAAAGGAAGTTCGTCATATTTCCTTTTTATATTTATAATAAGTCAATATCATTCTCCCTAGTATTGGGGTAGCAATAGTGGAGACCCTGTTGCAAACTGCTGCCTCATACTTGATCAGTAACTTATTACAGACAATTATTTCCTAATAAATCGGAGAGTGCATGGGTAATATTTAATAGCAATTTTCAAACTCGATCCTTTATTTTTTTGTATAAAGGTGTGGCAATAACTGAACCAAGCAACAGAGTAACGTTGATTGAAAGTTATTATGGTGTAGAAGTTGAATGGAATAATGTACGTAATGTGAGAGTGACAGTACTTGGTCGCTATCTGAACAGAACATCAGGTTTATGTGGAACATTTAATGGAAATCCTGGAGATGATTTCTTAGCAGCAAATGGAACAACTGTTGACAATGCTGTAATCTTTGGAAATTCTTGGAAAACTGATCCTGGTTGTGATGATGCAACAGATGTACAACATCCATGTGTAACTCACTCTGACAGAAACGCGACTGCTATAGCCAACTGTTCAGCTTTGTTATCTTCTCCATTCGATAACTGTGCAAGCCTGATTAATCCAGTTTCAGAGGGTTATATTACCGATTGTGAGTATGATGTATGTGCTTGTGGTGGTGATGCTACAGTTTGTCTATGTCAAGCAATAGAGGCTTATGTCAGTGATTGTAATTCAACTGGAGTGGATATTGATTGGCTGAGTGATCCACGATATCAACAATGTGGTAAGTGATCAATCTAGTTGAATTTCATCGCCAAGTTTATTGCAAATTTTGGAGGTATGGAGACACAAATTTTTTAATCATTATGCCGAAATTCTGAGTTTGACATACGAAATGCATATTTTGTAGGACGTGAAATGTTGCACATTATTTCACGTCATATACTTGGTAAATTCTTTATCATGAATATCAAATTCTGTGTTAGATGGTTCAATGCAATGAAAATTGTGGGACCTTTTGCATTAATAAAAATGAGTGGCTATTTAAGACACCAAAGAAACTCAATTTGTTCGGGTGACCTCCTGATATGCATTGTGCATAGAGTAGCCCATTTTATAAGAGGAAACTACTAAAGGAATGTCTTCATACTGGTATATGTGGCAAACACATTTACTTAGCAAAGGAAACTTCAGAAAGATTATTGTGACTATATGACCTAGAATGGAATTGCTCAACATTTATTAACAGAAATTTGAACTGTTTTAATCTAATTTATCTAATTTAGGTTCACCATGTGCCAGTGATCCATGTTTCAATGGTGGGACTTGTTCAAATGATGGACAGTCATTCTGTTGCTCATGTCCTGTTGGATACAATGGTGACCGCTGCGAAATCAAAGGTATAAACATTATTTTCAAGAACGTATGGTACTGGACATGTTGTTCAAAAACGCATATATTTAACAATTAGACACCGATGGCGAGGTGATCACAAGCCTATATTCATCAGCGAAGTGAATATAGTCCTTAGATCACCTAGTCTGGGGTGCCTAATTGTTTTAGTATAAAATGCAGTATTGAAACATAACAATATATACAAACGTTGTGTATAAAATTTACTTCACTTTTCCGATTTTGAGTCAAACGAATCCAGCTGTCGGAACTTTGTTGGCCGATTCTGTTATTTTCCGTTTTTAAATTGCCAAATAAATTGTTTTCGGAAGTAAAAGGTGCTTTTGTTTTTCCGAAATAGGCACCATACCATATATTGTTGCTTGTTTTGCTTTTAGAGGAATAGTTTGTGCTTTAATTTCTTCATATTTTTCCTCCATGATTTCGGCAGTCATTTTGTTTTGAAAGCAATAGTTACTATCCCAAGCTGTCTGAGCAGTAACTATTGCGTCATCGAAGGGAGCCATTCAGAACGTTTGAAATCCATATTAGACGGCCGGCCAAGTCATCAATTTGTACAACTTGATGGCAACTTTATGTTAGAAGCTGGTAACAGGCATTTTCTTATAGTTTAAGCCTTGGTGAACAAGACTGTGTGTGTTACCACTTCTGATTTTTGCTTTATAGCCAAAAATTTGAGAATTTTTAAATTTTGCCTATTAAATTACTATGATCGGAAAAAATGTAAAATTTCATGTTCTCTTATACGAAAAATAAACTATACCACTAGAAAGAGCGTAAAAAACTGTATATAAGACAATTAAGTGAGTTCTACGTTTTTCCAATCCTATTTCGAGTTTTTAATGTTAAAAAATGCAGAAATGACCAAATTAATGCTAATTAGTACCCATTTTGCCAACTTTAACCATCTTTAATTCAAAATCGGCTTGAAAATCGCACTAGTCGCTTAAGTTATCTTATATATAGTTTTTTACGCTCTTTCTAGTGGTATAGTTTATTTTTCGTATAAGAGAACATGAAATTTTACATTTTTTGCCATCATAGTAATTTAATAGGCAAAATTTAAAAATTCTCAATTTTTTGCCTATAAAGCAAAAATCAGAAGTGGTAACACACACAGTCTTATTCACCAAGGCTTGAACTATAAGAAAATGCCTGTTACCAGCTTCTAACATAAAGTTGCCATCAAACTCTCTTTAGAGGCACTTTTTGCCACCTTAGCCGGCCGACTATATTCAATACTGAATTTATTATAATACTGTTTATTATAAATGTAGGAGATCAAATGAGCTTTCGCGCGTTGTGATTGGCTGGTTGACTGGTAATTCTGACGCAATAGTTTCAAGCAGACTAATAAATAAAGCTTTTAATGCTAATAAATAATACTATTTCCTTTGATTTGTCATGTTTTCATTGTACTGCATGGTGTCCTGACGCTATATTGTGTTTTGGAAATTGCAAAATGCAAATATTATTAAAACTTTATTTCCAGACATTCGAGCAATATTTAATATACATCTCAGTCAATTTTAGCATTTTCCCAGCCATTTCCTTAACAAATTAATGCTCAACAGAAACCATTTGTCCATCATTGTGTTTTTATTCTAAGCAGATATCGAGAAAAACAACTTTGTAATAAAGCAATAAAGTGACATGGGAAGCCATTTTGAAAGTGTGTGCGTACAACAAGCACTGCAACACTGAAACAGTAGGCGTGAACCATATACATAGCAGGTTATCTTGATACGGGGAAAAGTACTGGCACTAGTTGTCAAATAGAAATCCATTTTATGATTAAAACAACTGAATATCTCATGCTGATTTTGTTGTTGCCGTTACTATTATTGATATTGGTACTTGTACTGTGCGTTTAAGTTTAGTTACATGCTTCTTTTCTGGTTGATTTTTTTTTATGCTCCTTTGTTTGTGCAAACCTGAACATTGTAATGTTGCAAACGCTTTGACTGATTAATTTGTGATTGGCGGTTCTCACTACTAACTTTCGTTCATACTAACTTTCATAGGTACCCCTTGTGCCAGTTCTCCATGTTTCAATGGTGGGTCTTGGAGAAATATTAATGAGTCTGCATTTGAGTGCACTTGCCCATTCGGCTTCGTAGGTGACAGATGTGAACTTGAAGGTGAAAAATCGTTATTCTATTATTATTATTATTATTATTATTATTATTATTACATGTTTTTCACAGCTTTGTTCTTATGCTGGCTATGTTTTTCCTTGGAAGCCGGCTACAACCAGTAGCCTCAGGTCCCTTAGATTTTAGCTTTCCAAGCTTCTTCTCAGTATTCTTGCCGTCCCTAACAATGCTGTTTTTTGTAGAAGTTCTATTCTTATATGTATTCGCAATTATTATTATTAAAATTATTATTAATATTATTAATAATATTATTATAATATTATTATTATTAATAATATTATTATTATTATTAATATTATTATTAATATTATTATTATTTATTATTATTATTATTATTATTTTTCAATTATTATATTTTTCAATTATTATTATTATTATTATTATTATTATTATTGATTATTATTATTATTGATTATTATTATTATTATTATTTCTTAAAATTGTTCATCACAAAAAGATTTTCATTATGATTCGTTCAAGCATTATTGCATTCACGCTGAACAAGACCGCCCTAATATTACATCGAGAGAAGTGCCTGTTATGCAGTCACCAAATGTTCCTGTACCAAGCCGCACTGTTGTTAAGTGTTGTTGTGGCAAGATATGCAAAAGTGCGCGTGGCCTTAAAATGCATCAGCGTAGTTGTCAAGTGATACATGGCCTTAACGACGAGCTATCTGCTGATCTTGAGGTGCAAATAACGACGGATAACACTGTAGATACCTCTGAAAATGACAATTCTATTAACGACATTGATGACGTTTTCCCATAAATTTACCGAAAAACAAGTCTGGGTGGCAAACGGCTTATGATTATTTTAAATGTGCGCTCCAGTTAAATGATCCAATCAGAATATATGCAAGACGTAAACTCAAAAATCAAGCTTTTAAACGACGTTATATATAACTACTTTGCTGATAACTTTGGACATAACGAAACGGTACCTGACAAAAATATGGTTACCAAATATAAAGAATATACTGTAAAGGAGTTAAAGAAAGCTTTGCAAAATTTAAAATCCAACAAAGGTGACCTTAGTGAAATTAAATACGTTTCCCGCACATTGCGTGATAAGCTTCGTAATAACAACAAGGATGGGCTAACCTCTGACAGCAATGAATCATTCAATCATGACAATTATATCGGACGGAACTTTTGGAGTTATATTAAAAAGCGTTATCAATAAGAAGGACTCAATATTACCATCATTTAACGTGACAGATTGCTTTACTTATTTTTCTAAATCTCTGGCTAAAATTAATCCTAATAGACTGCGTAGCATTCCCAGCTGGATACCAAAGTTATCTGATCCCGAAGTTCAATTCAACCTTGACCCCCCGACATATCAACAAATTACTAATGTGATACGTAAAATGAAATCGTTTGGCTCTCCTTGCCCCCTTGATCAGCTTTCGATAATATGTTTTAAGCGATGTCCTTATCTGAGAACTTACCTCAGTGAACTAATTCATGAAGTTTGGCTATCTGGGACTGTCCCGAATGAGTGGAAAAAAGCCTGTACTATATTAATACATAAGAAAGGTAGCACTGATGACCCGTCAAATTTCCGTCCAATAACACTATACCATTAAAAGTATTTACATCTTGTCTTCGAAACGCAATATATTCCTTCCTCGCATCCAATAACTTTATCGAATTAACACGGCATACAAAAGGGCTTCACCCCTAACTTATCTGGCACTCTAGAACACACTGCGCAAATGGCTGACATCATCAACAAAGCCCGGATCAGACAACGTGCTGTTGTCATCACCTTACTTGATCTGAAGAATGCTTTCGGCGAAGTCCATCATAATCTCATCCAATCAGTACTCGACTACCACCACATCCCAGAACACATAAAATTCGTTATAAAAAGTTTATACACTGAGTTCCAAACCTCAATAATTACCTCCGAATTCCGCACCCCTTTTATATCTGTTGGCCGTGGCGTATTGCAAGGAGATTGCCTCAGTTCTCTTCTTTTCAATATGTGCTTCAACACTTTTATCTAACATATCGAAGCTGAAAAGTACCTTCAGTTTGGCTTCTCCTTCAAGCTATTAAATCCTATCCACTGGTTCCAATTCGCTGATGACGCAGCCGTAATCACTGGCCAAGAATCTGAAAACCAGCATCTCCTAAATCGTTTTTCCATCTGGTGCCGATGGTCCAATATGATTATCAGAGTCGATAAATGTAGTACCTTTGGCATCAAGGAAACTATCACAAAATCAGTCCAATATTTGCCGAAACTCCTCATCAACAATAATCTGATACCAACAGTAAAGATTGGAGAAGCATTTCAATATTTAGGACGTTACTTTGATTTTAACATGTCGAACGATAACCATAAGACTGAACTAACCACTCCCGTTAATGAACTAATGACTGATATTAACTCGAAGCCACTCCACCCAAGAAATAAGCTTCTCCTATACAGTCGTTATGTCTTATCCAAAATATCGTGGCATTTCACCATCGCAACACTTTCTAAAACATGGCTTATTGAAAATATTGATCCCGTAGTCAACCAATACATCCGTAAATGGCTTGAAATTCCAACCTCAGGAACACTAAGTACTGTTTTTCTAACTCGCAACAAATTTGGTCAAAGTATTTATCCTCCATCGGTGAAATTTATCCAATGCCAAAGAGAAAGTTTTAAAGCTTTTCAAAGGAAAAGCTTTAAAACTTTCTCCAAATCAATCAATCAACGAACTGTGGAAATCTACTAATACTCATACTAATATCCAATACGACTTTTATAACTCAACCAAAGAAGTGCTTAAAGATTTTCGGTCTGAACATGAAGATAAACTCCAAAATCAATTAACTTGTCACGGATCCTTTTTCTCTAGTGTAACAAAGTTCTCATATTAATCTGACACTGCAATCGAGCAACGAAAAATTCGTTGGCTCGAGCGGGATTTGAACTCGCATCTTCGGGTATCTAGACCGCCGCTCTACCTATTGAGCTATCGAGTCAACAGGGATTGGTAGCGAGTCTTATCCAATTTAAGTGCACGAAATATTTTCGCGACGACTTAACGCTTGTCTTTGAGGACGCGCAGTGTTTCAATTCTATTTCAGAACCATCCTCAGAGATAGGAAAACTAGTTTCATATTAATCTGACACTGCAATCGAGCAACGAAAAATTCGTTGGCTCGGGCGGGATTTGAACTCGCATCTTCGGGTATCTAGACCGCCGCTCTACCTATTGAGCTATCGAGTCAACAGGGATTGGTAGCGAGTCTTATCCAATTTAAGTGCACGAAATATTTTCGTGACGACTTAACGCTTGTCTTGGAGGACGCGCAGTGTTTCAATTCTATTTCAGAACCATCCTCAGAGATAGGAAAACTAGTTTCATATTAATCTGACACTGCTACCAATCCCTGTTGACTCGATAGCTCAATAGGTAGAGCGGCGGTCTAGATACCCGAAGATGCGAGTTCAAATCCCGCTCGAGCCAACGAATTTTTCGTTGCTCGCTTGCAGTGTCAGATTAATATGAAACTAGTTTTCCTATCTCTGAGGATGGTTCTGAAATAGAATTGAAACACTGCGCGTCCTCAAAGACAAGCGTCAAGTCGTCACGAAAATATTTCGTGCACTTAAATTGGATAAGACTCGCTACCAATCCCTGTTGACTCGATAGCTCAATAGGTAGAGCGGCGGTCTAGATACCCGAAGATGCAAGTTCAAATCCCGCTCGAGCCAACGAATTTTTCGTTGCTCGATTGCAGTGTCAGATTAATATGAAACTAGTTTTCCTATCTCTGAGGATGGTTCTGAAATAGAATTGAAGCACTGCGCGTCCTCAAAGACAAGCGTTAAGTCGTCACGAAAATATTTCGTGCACTTAAATTGGATAAGACTCGCTACCAATCCCTGTTGACTCGATAGCTCAATAGGTAGAGCGGCGGTCTAGATCCCCGAAGATGCGAGTTCAAATCCCGCTCGAGCCAACGAATTTTTCGTTGCTCGATTGCAGTGTCAGATTAATATGAAACTAGTTTTCCTATCTCTGAGGATGGTTCTGAAACAAAGTTCTCCTTGTCGCATCTTAGAAAAGTGTGGTCTACTGCTCAATCAAAACTTCCGAAAAACATTTATAACTTTATGTTTGCGATGTTACTCTGAGTGCATATCCACACCGGGCAAGCTTGAAAAATATGCCCGGCCACGGTGGGATTCGAACCTACGACCTTTGGAATACTAGACTAATGTTCTTCCAACTGAGCTACGCGGTCAGGACGGTTCGAGTAAGTGATATTTCGGAACAGTATCTAGTTCCTTCAATACCAATGTGTTCTAGTAATATGAATTTTTTTCAAGCTCGCCCGGTGTGGATATGCACTCAGAGTAACATCGCAA